AGCCTTTCAATCAGGCTCTGCAGAAAGTCCACATCGTGGTCATAACGAGCCTGAAGTCTAGCATCCGTCGACTCAGGCGCGTGAAGTATCATAAAGTTACGGTGCCGCTGATTGCGGGCCGTTGTCTTCTTCATTTTGCTGCGCTGCATTCTCCCTTGTCCTTCATCTCTTGCGCTATCGCACACCGGTGTGTTAGTGTCCGTTAGACGCAACACAGGCACGCCAGCTGAGTCTCCAGCAACGGGTGAATGTTTGATTCAATTGTGCTAGTTGACCGTAGAGATTCTCAAAACTGGCATCAACCTATTCTGTATGAATCTGACGAAGTGATATCTTGAATCCCATTTCAAGGCCTAAGGTTTTGGTTTGTAACTGTAAAGCCAGCTACGCTTGGTGCATTGACCGACGTTTATATATCAGAATCAATGAAATTCCCAATTGGTTACCCAGCCGGTTGGGAATCTATGAGGACGGGATTGGTTGTGTCAGGAAACCGAGCTATCTAGGTAGTCGCAAGGCACATATTGACCACCATCCACCAAATAAATCCTAATAAGTCGTTCACAGTTGTAATGCACGATCAGCAGCCCCACATTCTCAGAATACGGTAGGTCATCACTATTGATCGCGAACACCCACCGCTGTGTATTCAAAGATAGTCGATTGACTCTAAGCCTACCCTGGCCACTGTTTTGATCGGTCTATCAATGTTGCATATTTGTGATCGATGAGAATGCACGAAATGGTGACGTCTTCTCACAAGTTACGTTGTCAAGGTAACACACGATTGACGATGTCGTTCAGCACAAGTTTACGCACGGATAGCTATCCATAGGCTAATTTTCCACCATTGAGCAGCGATCGATAGTATTGATACCCATAATTTCATTCTTTTTGGTTTTTATGCCTTTTTACAGTGTTACGTAATGTGGCGCAGAATCGGATCCTATTTAATGGTGATGGGACCTAGGCATGCATATCTTTGCCCACCATATTCTCTTGTACCGAATGTTTCACATGTTTACCATTGTGAATCCACAACTGTAACTATTCCCCCACGTTAGTTTCTCACAATTTCGTTTATTGGGCATTTGGTTTCACAATTTCTTCCCCTTTCTGCCCTGTGTTTGATTTTCCCTTCCTTCCGTGAACTCGTTGGGTTGCCACCACGTATCATGTTGTAATCGAGTCCCAGGTGCAAGTAGCACACTACCTGTTCTGCACTCGTTGAGACGAAAAAGTCATCGACAGACCTTTCTACTTTTGAAACTACCATTCGTGTCGACATGACTCTCGCTTTTGGCTGCAGTTGGTCGACGTTTTGGACTGTGAAGTATTTCCGCCTTACTTTCACCACTTTAAGTATACGGTTTTGATCGTTGCAGCTATTAGCGTACCATTTCGTAGGCCTTTTTCCGTAGTAATGTGTTTATCCTCACCCACGTGGTTTCTTTCACGATAGTCAACTTACCGTTGTTTTCCGGATTTGGCCTTTACCTTCATCAATAACCACACATCCGTACGTCGCACTGGTGACCCACTCTCGTGCAGGTATAACTATCCTACCCCCGTTTCTCTTCAATGTTACGATCGAGGATGTCCTTTTAAACACTCGAAGGCTTTCAGGGTTCTGGTGTAGAGCTTCTTCCTGGCAACCGCGTGACCGATTTAGATTATGCTGATGATATTGCCTTGCATGGTGATGACGCACAGAGCACACAAACCGTTTTAAACGGCTTGGCGATTGAAGCATCAAAATATGGAATGACCTTTGCTCCTATGAAATGCAAAGTCCTTGTCCTTCATTGGCGTCTACCTACTCCAGTGCTCACTCTTCAAGGTACGCAGCTTGAACAAGTGGATAAGTTTGTTTATCTGGGACGCTGGGTCTCTGTTGATGGTAACAATGGAAAAGATATTCCCTCTGCATTGCAAAAGCCCGTTCAGCGTTCGCCAACTGAAGGCATTTGTTGCGACGCCGTGACGTTTCACTATCCAGCCTATCCAGAGTGGTCCCATTATTTGGTATGCACTTCGCACCTTCAAAGTGCAAAGTGTTGCTGCAGGACCACCAGCCACTCGATGACCCCTTGAAGCTTGCTAACGAGGAACTCAAGGTGGTTGATCAATTCACTTATCTTGGCAGCTGCATCAGCAATGATGGGCGCATAGAAACTGACGTGAGCTCACGCATTGCAAAGGCCAGAGCTGCCTTCTTGAACCTGCGGCATCTTTGGCGACAGAAGGGAGTTTCCCTCCGTCTGAAAGGCCGTGTATACAAGGCCACAGTGAGGGCCGTTCTGCTCTATGGTAGTGAAACTTGGCCCCTTCGGTCTGAAGATCTGAGGTGCCTTCAAGTCTTTGATCATCGTTGTCTGCGAAGCATTTCTGGTGTCGGATGGCACCAGCGTGTCCGCAACGATGATGTGCGTAGGCGAGTACTAGGTGGTGATGATCATGCTAGCTCCCTAGAACAACAGATAGCACTGAATAAGTTGCCTTGGCTCGGGCACGTGCTACGTATGCCTGCTCACCGTTTACCTAGGAGGGCCTTGTTCAGTCTACCAGGTGTAGGATGGCGCAAGGCTCGAGGTGGACAGAAGTTGACTTGGCAGCGGGAAATGAAGTCACTGACGACCAAACTGGGTGCCGTTGGTCCGTCTCGCCTTCCGGGTTGGAGTCCACATGAATCGCCTTGTGTTTGACTCGAGACTTTACAGGATATGGCTCGCAGTAGACACCAGTGGCGCGTCTGCTGTAGTCTCCTAGTGGGATTGCCTGTTTAAAGTGTGTATGCTGCTGAGTTATCTGCGGGGTAATGGCTGATTATGACGCGTGGCAGTGAAAGCCGCAAGGAGGCTGTCTCGCCGATGCTGCCTTATCTTTGCACGATAGCCAGCTGTTTGTGACGGAATGTTGTCTACACAAGGTGTAGGTGCCTTGACCCCGAATGTTTGCTTAGGGCATTAAGGTTTTCAGGTAAGTCCCCCTTCTCTCTCTCTTCTTATTCTTTATTTCATAGGTCCTCATGGTTGTATGGCAGCGAAGCATCAGTTCAAATGGCTGATTTACTGCTGTTGACGATGATGATGATGATGATGACGTTTCAGTATTGGTAATGGGCAGGGTCTACAATGCCTGTGTTCGCGCGGTGCTGCTGTATGGGACTGAGTCCTGGCCGATTCGTGTGAATGACTTGCGTCGGATTTCGGCCTTTGACAATGGATGTCTTCGGAGAATAGCTCGAGTGTGGTGGATGAACCACATGCGCAAAGGTGATGTTAGACGTCGCGTCTTGGGTAGCACGGGACTTACACTTGGCAGACTTGTATCGGTGCGCCAGATGAGATGACTGGACCACGTTGTACGCTTGCCATCCGAACGGCTGTCCCGACGCGCTCTCTTCGCTTATACAAGATGAGGCTGGAAGAAACCGCGCGGTGGACAGCCTATCACATGGTACCAAACGATTTAAGTGTTGAGTTCCAGTTTAACTGTCATAGGTCCCGTGCGTCTCCCGGGCTGGGAGATCGAAAATGAAGAACACCGCTGGCTGGAAACTCGGAGATGGCGCAGTACCGGACCCTATGGAAAGTGTATACAAATGTTTGTCTTGATTTATTTGATTTACCTCGCAAAAATTAAACAGACGAAAATAAGCTATAACCGCGTGCGAAAAAAAACGAAAAAGCAAAGACGACTCAAACAAAAATAAGTTTTTTTGTAACGTTCATACTTTTCTTCTCTGTGCTCTCTGTATTTATTACTTCCGTTTCATGGATTTCGCTGGCTCCAAGTCTATCTTATAGACTGCTGATTATATATATATATATATATATATATATATATATATATATATATACCCTACTGAGGAAGTGTCCTACTAGGATGAGAAGGGAGACATTACGCATAATCTGACTGCCTCAAGCAAACTTTCGGGAGCAATTGGCTTACACATTGACCAAATGCCTTCATCAACAACTGCCCATCGTACAGGGGGGCCTTTTTTGCGAATTTTACTAACTCACGTCCTTGTCAGCCTTTAGTCATTAATATTTTTGCATCGGTCAGATAATCCAGCCTGTGTGCCCCAACACACATGCCATTGGGGCAATTTACCATCTGTTCGTTAACTTATCCCATCCAGTTGTGTTGGCTTCAACATCCAGTTTAGCTCGTGGTGTTTTCATTCTCCTTGCTATAACGAGTCTTGTCCCCTCGAGCATTACTCCGGTAACCAAAACCAGGCCCTCTTCTGCGCGGTTTGACCGGGCACACGTGGACTGTGCCCGAAGAAACGCAACCTGCCCAGATGGAATAAATCTCCCCAATCGTCGCATCTTAGCGATCGCTTACACCACTCATCATCGCGGACACGATTGTGACATTCCACCCTATTACTGCTCCATAAACAAGAATGCCAAAGGATCTGGAAGCCATTTCGACCTTCATATCGATGGCCCCCCACTGTCTAAGTGGTTCAGACACTCGGCCTTTGATTCAACATCCACCGGTTCGAATCTCTTAATATCCGAGCGCCGTGCAGCCACTGTTGGCTAGGCGACAGTAACCGGTCTGTACTAGTTTCAGTGTACTGCGAGTATCTGCTGCAGCGTTGTGGTTCTGTATACATTGCCTTCCGACCCAGGATCATATTCCTACTCACAAGTTGATCACTTAAGTGCGTCTCCTAGGCAAATATTTTACGGGTCGGCGTTTCGATGGCATAATCTGAAGCTGTCGCATTAGTTTTTCGTTATCGTCAATCGACGGTAGTTAGTTCGCCCCAAATGTTTCCTGGTTATACATCGCGGTGCTTATTTTTCACTGCGAAAATCAGTGTGCTTTCATTCTCTGATCGAGTGTAACATTCACTTTACTTGTCGACGATTCCGACTGTGCCTTTTTGCAAGTTCGTTTCTTCTGCTAGGCAGCATTAGGATTCCTAGTTTTGGTCCTGCAACGGCGTCACTGAATAGTTCTCATATTTATATTTTCAGCAACATTTCCGGTGGTGCGAGGTCAAATCTGCAGTTCCCTCTGTCGCCTATTTCACAAAACCTGTCTGGAACAAACTAACTCACAAATACATTTGCGGTGAGTGATTGATTCTGTTTTGTGCTTCACCACCGGTTATGATCGAGCTCAGTTCTATCACAGACGTTTTCTTTGTTTTGACCCATACTCCGTCTAATATTTTTCAACTCGTTACACAGGGTGAATGTGTCCGAGGCAATAAACAAATAATCAAGTCCGTATTTATGGGTTCGGACTCTAGGCCTGACGAAGCTTTTGCGTCAAAAGTGAAACGTTGCCAAATAAACCGCCCATTTCTCCGAAATCAAACAATTAGGTAGGCTAAGTGCTAAACAAGTGGGCGAATGACTTATTCCCAAGCAACTAGCTAAATGTCGTATTTCTCTCTGTACCTAAAGCCCCCCATTCACGAATGTGCGTGCATCATGTGAACTACTGGGATGAAAACCTCAGCAAAAATAACATGTGATTTTCACTTGAAGACAAATAAGTCGGTTTGCGCTGCATAGGAATGTTCAATGTTTGCGGATGCCGTCCTAATATGTGCACTAATGACTCAAAACTAGTTGAACTCGCCATTTGTACACAACAGCCGAAGAAGCATTTGGCTACTTGCTAATCAGCTCTCATGTGTATCATAAGCAGAATGAAATTATCCACCAGTGGTGGAACAGCCACTTCATGCAGTGTTTTTAGTACTCTGAACCCATCGCGACGAAACTGGATCTTAATGTGGTGCGATGATTTGCGTACCTCCGTGATCCATAGAGTTACCCTTGGTGACACTTTCTAAGTGCCTTCCGAGCCACTCATGCCAGACAGGTCGATAGTTACGCAGAGATCGATGACCCTGTTCTCTCAGAACTTAGCGGTGGAAGCAAGCGGATCCACGGGTTATAAGCTCACAGCTCGATTGGCGTAGAGCACGATCGCCACGAATTATTTCTGACGGTGAGGGGCACCTTCCGGTGCTCAATGGTTTGCTACCGCCCGCCTCAATCCAAGCAACCCCTGGTCGAATTGGTGCAAACCCGACAACTCCCACCTGCGGCTGGCCGTGGTCACAGGTGCATAACATACTACGATGGTAAGACGCAGAGACATTGTTCTAACTCTTCAAGGTCTGTGTGTGATAGGCCTCATACAGACCCCAATGGGTCTCTGCAATCACACTCCCGCAGACAGACAATGGCTGTGTTCCTGGATTTCGAGAGTACGTTCGATTCAGTCGCCCGATGCATTCCGTTCAAAATACTTGCGCAAGAAGGGGTTCCCATGAAACATGAACATTTCACATGTCCTATTATCGAACACTACAGGCCGCATCAGGGTCTGTGATGAATTATCAGATATCTTTCCAACAGCAAGTGTTCGCCAGGCTTATCCAATTTCTCCATTTTTATTTAACTACGTCGTGGAATCAGTCGTAGAATGTTCCTTTGCGGAGCCCCACAATGCAGGCGTTGAGGTGCTGTCTGGTGAAAAGCCACTTGATCTTAATTGTGCGGACGACATTATCCTGCTTTTTAACGATCTTGAGGCGGCCACTTGATAACCCCTTGGCCCTTGATGGCAAAGCACTTGAAGTAGTTGAGCAGCAACGATCGGCGCATAAGCACTGAAGTGAGTTCACATAGTACAAAAACTAAACTGCCTTCTTGGATCTGCGATATCTGTGGCATCAGAAAGGGGTTTTCTTCGGTCTGAAAGGCCCTGTCTACAAGGCCACAGTGAGGACCGTTCTACTCCATGAAAGCGACTTGGCCCCTTCGATCTGAGGACATGCGGCGCCTTCAAGTCTTTGGTTATCGTTGTCCGCGACACATTGCTGGTTTCGGGTGGCACCATCGTGTCCGAAACGATGCTGTGCTTAGGCGAGTACTGGGCAACTTCCTTAGAACGACAGATAGCATGAATAAGTTGCGTTGTCTTGGGCGCGTACTATGTATACCCGGTCACCACTTACCGAGGAGCGCCTTGTTTTGTTTGCCAGATGTAGGTTGACACAAGACTCGAGTTGGGGAGAAATTAACTTGGCACAGGGAAACAAACTCACTGACGACCCAACTCGATCCCGTCGTTCCGTTTCGCTTTCCAGACTCGAATATGCTGTAGTCTGCTAACCTGGTCGCCTGTTTAAAGTGTTTTTGGTGCTGAGTTATCTGCGTGGTAATAGTTGAATATGACTCAGGGTAGTGAATGCCGCGAAGGATCTGCCTCGCTGATGCCGCCTTATCCTTACACGATAGCCAGCTGTTTGTGTTGCTACGTTGTTGACACATAGTGCAAACACCTTGACTCTGAGTGTTTGTTTAGAACATTAAGGTTTTGCGCTAGGTCTCCCTTCTCTCCTTCCGTAGATGGTTATGGTTGTATGGCATCGAAGCATCGGTTCAAATGGCTGCTGTACTGCTGCTGCTGCTGCTGCTGCTGTAGTTTTTTGTTGTTGGTGGTCTTGCCACCCACTGCATTGTAGGTTAGGCTTTTGAACCAAAGGCTCAGGGTGGAGTCCCTCTTGCGAACCTCCATATCCCCACTGCTTTGTTGGTCAGGCTACTGAGTCAAAGGCTTTGGGTGGAGTCTCAAGAGAACCTTCGTGTACCCCAATGCCTTGTGGGTCAAACTGTTGAGTCATAGCCTAGTTGTTTAAGGTATCTCAAACAAAACCTCTCTCTCGGAATGGGCATCCGGTTAGTATCACCTGCCCTCAGCAAACATGCTGAAGGCAATCTGCTCCACTGGATACCGGTGAATTGCGGGTTGACACCAGCCAACTGGAGAAGCCAGCTTTTCTGAATGCGCATCGAAGTACGCTGGTATACGGGTTGAGTAAGCGCTCACTGGATACCATTGAAGGTCACCGGCCTCATATTCACCGGATCTTACTAGCAGCAGGCAAATCTACATGTGATAAGTCTAATAGCTAACACGGACAGTGGGTCTTTCCACAGTCTCTGGAACTTATCGATGCTCGCCGGCACATGCCGGCTGGAAGCGAACACAGTGAAATTCGCAAATACCTTCGAGCAAAACTTTGTACTAGCCTTAAGCGAGACCACGTATCCTGGTGGTCTCTACGTGCGTCAGACATGGAAGTGGCCGCTGTCCTTGGTAACCATCCGTCTGCTACGGGAAACGTGCAGCAAGAGACTTGGTGTTAGTGAAACTGTACGTGACGAGAGTGATTAGCCTATCCACAACTTGTCAAAACGCTTGGAGCGTTGGGCTGAGCACTTTGAAAGGCACTTTAATTCTCTGGCATTGTCAGATTTCCTGCTGGTTACTAATCGCCCTGCTCCCTGGGCTGTTACTTTGGATCCGCCCTTTCGCTCAGACGTCGAACGTGAGATCGAACTGTTGAAGTTGAACAAAGCCGCGGGACCAGATGATCTTCCTCCAGCATTCTTCAAATTCTGGGGACCTCTTGTGGATGGTTTGCACGAGATTCTAGTGAAACTGTGGGAGCAGGAAGCTGTCCCAACCAACTGGAGTAGCTCCGTTATTGTTCCGATCTTCAATGGAAGCTCGCTTTCGGTATGCGGCAATCATAGAGCAATCAGTCTGATCCCCATCGCCACCAAATTACTTACGACCGCCTGTGCTACAGCACCATGCGCTCAATGTCGATGGAGTGCACTCCATCGGCGCCTGTTGCTTCCGCAACTACCGTTTCTTCTCCGCATGCACGAGGGCTTTCTCCTGCACTTCAGCAAATGCGTGATCTGATCACGCGAAACACCCCGATCAACCGCCTTCGATTCCCAACACCTGAAATCAATATTAGGAGGTGATAGACTCATCTTGATCATGTCCTGCTAACGAAGCTTCGGTTTTCTCACATAGCTGACGATATAACAGCTGCTTTGTTTTCCGTGTCCTATCCATCGACACACATGACGGAGCAACCACAGGCGTCTCAGCAAACGTATGCAGCCCACTGGATACATTCCATTTCGGTGCAGCACCTTCGTGTCTGCAACTCTCTTGTACTAGTCGATGCGCAGAATCCGTCGCAGACACTGTTGATGAAACCGCTCGAGATATCGCACATCCCGCCCGTACATCGTCCACGTTACGCTGTTGTACAGAAGAACGGACAGCACCATGGATTTGTACACCATTGGCTTCGTGCCATTGGTAAGCTGATGGTTGTTCACACTCGGTACTCTAGCTTCCCGAATGCCGCCGCTGCCTTAGCGACGCGGATACGAAGCTCACTGTGAAGCTGCTGGTCGGTCGACATCACACTCCCAAGGTAGCAGAAGCTGCAAGTGGTTTCCAGTATTTCAGCATCAATGCTGACTTGTGGCATCATTGAAGATTGCACCTCCGGTGAAGGCTGAAAGAGACAGACAGTTTTGCTTGTTTTGGTGGTGAGCCCGAATTTGGCCGCTGTCAAAGCCAGAGCACTAGTCATGTGCTGCAACTCATCTGCGCTGTGTGCAAACAACGCACAGTCGTCAGCGAACAGCAACATACGGATAGTTGTCTCACAGACTAGAGTTCTCGCACCGAAACGACGGATGTTCAGCAACCCACCATCAATACGGTGCTCCACACGAACACCGTAAGCACAAGCCGCATCAAACGCAAAAGGTATCAATGCATGAAGATAAATAGTAAACAGGACAGGGGCTGAGACACAGCCTTGCTTCACACCAGAGATAACTGCAAAGTCATCTGAGGTCTGTCTAATCAACTGCACCCACCACTGTGCCGATATCCATTTAAACTTACTGGGACAACCAAACATACCCAACACCATTCACAATGCTTCGCGATTCACCGCATCAAACGCTTTGGTGAAATCAACAAACAGCGAGTACAATGGCTGGTCTCCTGCAACTGACGAGCCACGAACAGCATATATATGATAGACCCGAACGGAACCGACATTGCTCTTCCTCCACATTCGGTTCCACTACCTTACTGTCGAGGCGGTCGAGCAGGATTCGGGCAATCACCTTGCCCACACAACTCAGTAACTTGATGCCGCGATGATTCTTGTAACATTGCTTGCTTCCTTTACCCTTGTACAGTGGGAGCACAAGCGCATCCTT